CATGACATATACAATCTTGAATTCAAAGATAAGCAGAATATATTTTACACCGAAGTCAAGCTTATGCTCTGCACTTAAAAGTTTATGTACCTAAAATATTGGATGGATTATAGAAACAAAGAGCAACAGTTTGCACCAAAGTAATCTGAATACATATTCATGGCATGAAGCTTGCCTTGTGTTTTTGTTTTGTGTTTTGGGGTGGCTTTCTTTTCTTGGATTTGCAAGGCTTTAATTCAAATTCAATTATTCATTTTTGTAGGCCATGGGTGATGTGGTGACATGAGGAGGGGAATGGGCATACTGTGGACAGGATTTCTGAGCCTGAGAGAATTTCGGCCTGTCAGGGGCTCATCTAGTCCCAGGGGAAAGTTCCTGGGAACAGTTTCTCTCCAGAACTGTGTTACTGTAAAGAGATAATATTTCTCAAAACAATACTGAACAGATGTCCTGGGTGTGTTTTCTCTGGTCTCACCAATGGGACCAAAAGGGGGTGTTGTTCCTTCCACCAGTCAGGGTAACCTGGTCGGAAAAACTATGTAAGGGCTGAAAGAACCCCAAATAAAGGCTTTTCAGCCCCAGGAAAACGGGTTGCGTGTGGTGTTCAAACTTGGACTCTTGCCCAATACCTCGTGTCCTCTAGTGACATGCATATGTTATGGACAACTCAGCTGAGTGACTTAAAATATAAGGCAATAAATTATGGCTGGTACCCTGGCTGATACCTGAAAATAAAATTGTGACTATTTGAGTTTCTCCTTTCTGAGGAGAATTCATTTGGAAGGGCTAAGTGTCCGTTCTGTGTCTAATTTAATGGAAACTTTAACAGGAATTTAAACCCTCAATTGCAAAAGCTGGTGAGATAACTGCAGTGTAACAACAGCCTTATCTCATTTACAGCTTTCTCATTAATCCCTGGGGAGGCTTTGGTTTTCTTCATGAAAACCAAGTTTATACAAAAAGAATTGATCTGTGTTGTAGATTAGGTTAGATACAACTGCAGATCATGTGGTTTTTTGGTTTTTGGGGTTTTTTTTCCCCTCCATAGATTCTATTTAATCTCAGCTACTCCTGTCTTTGATCCTTGTATTCCAAAGATACGTGTTGTCAATAGTCCTTTTATTCCCCATCTGACTGGTGGCTGGACCACTGACACTTAAAAACACAAAGGTAGGTAAAATCTTTACTTAATGACAATGCATACATATGCATTATTTTAACCAGCCTAAGATTTTCGCTTGTTATCACAAGGCACAGAATTACCTCTTAGATGGTACGAAATCTTCATTTTTAGAGGAGCTAGATTTTAATTGCATTTGTGGGGCATAAAAACATTTTAACATCCTGCTTTTAACAGCTTTTTTTCCCTCTTTCTATGTATGAAAAGTTTAACGCAGTTTGAAAACTTGAAAATCTCTCAGCTGCACTGGCCCAGTGGGAAGGGAAAATAATTTGCAAAGGCCTGTAAAGTGGCTGAATGGGTCTGACACCACCAAAATGTGTGTTACCTGCATAGCATTTCTGTTCTGTGCACCAGCAGCCTGTTGGCACACTGGGGAGAAGCCCCAGGGCAGAAATGCTGTCCAAACCAGAGAATACCTAATGTATCACACCTGCATGTGCTGAGCACCGGCGCTGCTGGATTGGCTGGTACCAGTTATGGTTTCTACGGGAAATCAGATGGTTCCATTTTGCATTACAGACCCCAGGGAATCTGGCTGCCAGGCATCTGCTGCCAGATCCTACCTTTTCCAGGCACTTCTGTATGGAGCACCTGAGGCAAACTGGCCCAGGCCCAAACCTGTGTAATGGGTTTGGCTCACAAGCACAGAAGTGTTGCTGGGGCCACCCTGAACCTCTTTCAAGCACTGTTTCATTAGACAAGGTGATTGAAATCTAGCTGGTATGTTCAGTGCACAAAAATCCCCCACAGCCTGATAGTTTTCAGAGGAGTTTTTTAAAGTTGGAAAGTTTTAACTGGTGGTAAGGGCAAACTTGTAATGGAACCTGTAGGTTCCACTTGTAGAAAAGAGCATGGGTTTAATGTGGCTGTAACAAAATTTGATTTGTACCTAAGCTTTCCTGTTGGACCTATTTTCTGGAAGCTCTTCAGAAACAGCTCGACACTGTTTCTGTCAAGAGCTTTTTAACCTGCTAGACACTGGGTTTTACTAAATTTCAGAACCTTTTAAAAAAATTCTTTGAAGCAGACCGAAAAGGGCTTCCATTTCTTAGTAAAAAGACAAAACACAGGAAATTATATCCTTTTGTATGGGCTTAAGTGCTTCTAAGCAGTGCATTACATTGCTCATGTAACATCCTAATAATTGTCCTACATCTGTCAGGAAGGAAAGGTACACCTAAAAAGCTGCAAAGTGGTGGTGCTTCCACCCCCACCACTTCCATCTGGTTAAGAAGACATTTACATGCTGTAGTTAGAAAAAATTTAATTCTACTGCAGCTCTCTTGAGTGCCCTTTGCTTGCTGTTGTCCCTCTATTTTATGAATCTCATTAAGATAAGTGGGAGAAAGAAGTAGTTTTTCTATTGGTTGTATCTTACATAACAGTGGAGGGGTGGAAAACCATTGCTGGAGTGCTTTTGTTTGCTCACTGTGCTTTACCCCTTTTTACTTCACTGGGTTTCAGCCTCTTTTCTCTGAAGATACATACAAAGAATTAGTGGAGTAAATCATCCTTCACTAATACTTATGCTTTTTATTTTCCTCTAAACATATCAGTCACCTTATGAGCAGGAACTTTCTCTCATCGAGTCAGTATCTCCTGTAATTTAGAAGAATGTATTATATTTTCCCTTGCACTTCTGTGAGTAAGCATCTTTTTCATGTTTCTCAAACACCAACTTAAAATGCTCTTTCTTTGTTGGCCTCTTCAAGGTCTTCACATCCCAACCCGACTATCCAAATGTGACTACCTGGCTGTACCTGCTCATTCTTTTGGACAGCAACTGTACAGATTTGATGTATGGGGAGTTTACAACAATGCTGTACTTCACCAGGATGGTGTTATTCTTTCTGGGGGCAGAGGAGCGGGGGACAATCCCTTTGGTGCAACAGAGTAGTGTCTGAGAATACAATCTCACTGAAATGGTGGAAGCTTAAGTAAAGTTTAATAAAGACTTTCGGAACTGAGGTTGTTTATGGCATAGTTAAGGCCAAGTTATCTTTCACAAACATGAGATCATAGAAAATTCCTCAGCCACTATAATAGCTAAGAGGATTTTTTTTTTAATAGTCTGACCACAACACATTTTTTTTCCTTCATTGACTGAGACTAATCTAAAAAGTCAGTTGAAGTATTCTTTTAATTAAAACACAAATGCATTTTGATGCTGACTATCTAAGGAGGGAATGTGGGGAAAAAATCAGCTACACTGCAACATCTCTCAAGAAAACAACTGAACTCCAGAAATAATGTCGTGCTTTGCAGATCACTAAGCTATTTAGTAAAAATTCACACTCTTGAATAAATGGTAGTCAGGCTGAACTGTCAAATCATGTGGTGTTGCTGTGGTGCCTGGGTGTGTTTTTTTTAACTTAAAACTTCAGGCTCTGTGAAACGTTTGCCTAGACCAAATGTGCAAGGTGCCATGGATTAACAACACGGACCCATATGGAATGTGTTTGAAGTTTTCAAGAAGTTATCCTGCCAGACTTCATTCCTTAATGACCTTTGATACACCTTGGATAGTGGAAAGGCAGTTCAGAATCATATCTTGTAATCGTATGATTTTGGCAGCTATCAGAAGATGAAGGATGCTAAAAGTTAAGGCTTTTATCCACAAACAATGGTGTATATTAATAAACTCTATACCATATTTACAAATGCTTTCTCTTGTATTAAAACTAACAGTATTCTGTTCACAGTGCCAATGTTTTTACAGGTAGCAATCATCCCACAGTACTCCAGTATTTTGGCATGGGAATCAGTAGCGCTTTCTATTTACAGAAAATGTACACATATGAATATAAACAGGTAACTTGAAACAGTACTCAAAAGATAGATCTCTTCGTGTTTCAAAGGTTTAGACTGTACTACACCTTCCCTTTTGGCTGTGAGGGAATGCTGTTCCTTGCAATGAGAAGATGCCCATCTTTTATCCAAAGTGGCATAAAAATGATTACCAAAACGAGCCTTGTTACACTGGAGGTGTGTATGTGGAGAGTAACCTCAGTCCAAGGTTTATAGATCTGTTGTTTAGTGCACAGAATACAAAAGTTAAAAAGGTTTTTAACTACTAAAACAACCCGACTCTCTGCCCTCTGCGAGCACCGTCCTGCTCAGTCCATGACCTCTGGATGATGGAGATGCTGGTGGTTTCATGTGCAGCCCAGCTGCCAGCCTAGAAAGGGTGTGGCACTCTGGGCCTATATACATATGTCACAATATGACTTATGGTAAATGAAAAGATCACCAAGAGTGCCTCTCTGTGCCCCCTATTCTCAGCAATCCTCCCTGCTTCATGGCAGTCGGAACTGGCCTGGCTTCCCTGCTGCTGACAGGGACTCTGCACCGGGGCAGTTTGGGGTCAGGGGTGACAAATGGCATCAGGCATGCGCAGAATGGAGAGAGGGGAGAGTGAAGATCAGAAAGAATCCCAGCAGAACCGTGGGTGTGTTCGTGAGGACCCTTAGAGCTTTGCCATTTCTTGCCTTTGCACGGTGTTGACAACAGGCTCCTGCTCCCCAGGACCTTGTTTGCTGCTGTGACCAAGACGGAGATAGCAGTGCGAGAAGGAGAAGTGCAAAGCTGACACTAAGGAGTCTCTTCTTCATTTAAAGTCTGTTCCTGGCTGCCAGTCACTTGGCCTGAGTGGTCGTTGCTCCTACTACTGCTGTGTTGCTTGTGGAGCAAACCTCTCCACTTGGCCTTGTTCCTCCTGAGATGGTTTAGCATATTTTCAGAGAGGGGTGTGTTGCCTGTAAACTGGGCCCACCTCTCAAAGAGCGGCTCAACAATGTATGTCATGAACCCTGGAGAAACACACAAGGGACAGCTGGTGAGCAACAAGTTAATTCCAGAAGTGCACTGCCCCACCAAGTACCTCAAAAGCACAAAGCAAGGTAAGTGGCAAAAGCCCTGATGAGAAATAACAGCAGACATCAATTCATTTTGAAATGCACAGCTTCTGACCAGCATACATGACAAGATATGGCTTTACTTGCCTGTGTCACAGTAAACTCTGTGACAGTTAGCAATCCTCTGAGGAAATTTCAGACAAGAAAGCAACCAGTGTTTAACACTGGCTGCAATTTTTCCCCATGGGAATTTTTCCCCTATGCAAAGACTGCTTTGTCTTTCTGTTGAACATTTGGCTTAGATAGGTTTCTTTTTGAACATTTTAATTTAGAACATATTTTTTAACTCTAATGGTATTTGCAGCTCTTATTGTTAAAACAACTGTATTGGAGTGGGGCATGTGGTGGACAGAAGTTTCTTAGAGCTTCTGCCATAGTGAGATAAACACGAAGAGAATGAAACAAATACTTACCAATCTGGATGCTTGGTACTGTATCCTTTTGCTGATTACAAAGGGGACTTATTTCCAGTTCAAATTTTTGTTCCAGATCACCTGCAAAAATAAAAAAAAAAAACAACCCAAATTCTTTTCTGCCACTTTTATCTCTTCTCCATACCTATGCCACACTTTTACTATGTCTGCAGCTGTGTGAGGAGTTGGAATCTTCTATCAATGATGACCATGGTAAATGTGTAAATACCTTCATTCTCTGGACTTTTATTTTTTAGGTATCAGAGAAACCAATTATCCATACAAAGAAAAATCTAAGAAAAGAAGACTTTTAGATGAACATTAAATTTGAGCATGTAAGTGTTCTGAGGACCTAAATTTTTAAAAAACTCTCTCGTGTGAAGGATTTTTAAGACACTCTGGTTTCTTTACTCATTGTTCAAATCTCTTCCTACCAGAAAATTGCGGTGTATCAATTTTAGAAGAAACGCATCTCCAGTAGTACTGTAGTGGAAATTGCTGGTGTATTCTTGTGGAAGTGGCTCATAAAGGGAAGAGTGCTGGAGGCTGGCAGCCCACAGCTATGGCTGCACTAACAAACCAATAAAGGCCAAAGCGTGGACCCCAGAAATGTTTCAAGTGTCAAGAGCTATGGAGTTCAAGTTACAAATGTGGAAAAAGGATGAAATTAAAAGTCTGTGCAGTAGCTGGGTATCAAGCTATGCCTTGGCTGCTGCACTGAGCATATTTATTTCCTGGTTGTCCAGGCAGTCCCCAGAGAGGCACCTGCACAGACTGACTCGAGACAGTGAAGTAGTTGGCTGAACTTCTGGCCACCTTCAGAGCAGGGCATTTGACTAATTGGACCAGGGGGTCTCCAGTTCCAAATCCAGGACTGTCCTGAAAAATCCTGCAGACAGCTCCTGCTGTGACCAGCCCTGGGGACTGTTTCAAATTGTTGAAAGAAAAACCTTGCTGGGGAATCTGCTCACCCCAGATGCCACCTCAGATTGCTCCTGATGCAGAATTGACCAGGTCTGACATTGAGAAGATACTTATAAACAGTCAGCAGAAATTATTCCTGCAGAAATGGTCACACAGGACAGGCTTCCATACACAGTGATGGCAAGAGACATTTTCTATGGAGTTGAAGGTAATCAATAGCAGTGACCATGCTGGATTTAAGCATTCAGCAAAAAAAATTGGGTGTAGGGATTTTCTTAAAACAAATTCTGTCTGAGTGCAACAAGTTCATCCTTTGTGATTGTTAGCCTTTCATGCCAGTGTACAATCCTGGATACTGCATGAGATACAGGATCTTTCCTTTCTACAGCACGGAAAGGAAGTGAGAGTTAACTGTGTGCAAGCTAAGATGTGCCACTTCCCCTCAGACAATAATATTTTGTCCATGTGATTTATTAATAAGGATGTAGTGAGGGCTGGTTAGGAAAAACTTTCCTGTAAGAAAGACAGACCTGTTAGTTTAGACAAAACACTGTATTCAACCCATAAAGAAACATTTTGCTTTAAATCTGCTGGTTTTGTTTAAAAGCTCTTTTCTCCCCACTAACAGTTTTTACTATTGTGCTACTGTGCTACCCAGGTTTTACAGCCCCTTATAAAACACTGTGTGCATTTCTAAGCCTTGCCTTTCTTCCCTCTGCAGCATGCAATCACTTCTTAAATGTGAGCAGAGTATTTTCAGTTCTAATTGAGTGCTTAGAAAGTATCAGGAAAACATTTGTAGCTTCATGAACAATCAAAAGGAACAATTTAGCAAAACTGAGACACAGTAACAGTCTCTCATGTTCCCAAATGTGCAATTTGTCTTCTCATCTACCACTCCAAAAATTTTTGACTAAAAGAAAGTTTCTAACTCCAGTGATATCCTCTCTGTAGGTGTTCTGGGTAGAAAATGGTTGACCTGTCTGGCTCAAAGTATATCTACATCTTCTTGTCTTTCAGAAGTCACTGAATTGACAAAAATAAGATTTGCTTTTGCATGGTAAGAACTTAAAATGACAGTCAATATTTTTGTTTCAAGTTACTATGAAAAGAACTGTGTGAATTTGTTCCTGAGAACTTTCATGCAAGGAAAAACCTTCCAAGCAATTTTAAAACCTTAACAGAGAAACTTATCATTAATGCCACTTCAACATTACCCATTTTCTTGAAAGCTTTTTCTTACTACTTGCAGTTTCATATATATAAATCAAGTTACTTACCCTGTGTTTCTAGCTGTGCTGACTTTTAAAAGATCTGAAAACAAGTTGAAGTATTTTTCTAGGAAAGGCCTACGCTGCTGTAGGTGTCAGATGCTCCCTGAAATGTAGCTGGATTGTATATTTTATTTACTAATGTGTAGTGTAGATGCACCAGAACACTAGAAGATCAGGATCTGAGTCTCTATTAAAATGACCTTAGAATTGTTTATAAAAAAAAAGTTAAAACTTTCTATCTGTTCCAGAAGGAAGATTAAACAAAGCACTAATTGTGGTATTATCAGTCTCATCTATAATTAAAAATCAAAACAAGAAACCTTATGATATCCAGATGTTAAACTCAGTACTATGTTATGTATTTTGAAAATACCTTCAAGCCCCATCATTATATGTAAAGGGGTAGAGAGGTCTACAGAAACACTTTAATGTTATAATGGTATCTAAATTCATACTATTTAACACTGGGAGTACTGTACCACTGAACATCATTATACAGACACTAGTGATAGAGCAGTTTCTGTATAACTGTCCCCTATAAAACGCTCCTTTTCTTCCTGTGATGGTTCTTACTAGTCTCATGTACTCAGGTATCCCCTGCCAGAGGTCTGTTTTAGTGTTACACTAACAAATCTTGAGGGCAGTGGATAAAGCTTACATTTGTAAGAGTTGTCTTTCTCAGCATAGTCCCCCAATACACTAAAGGTGAGGAGCTGCACCTCATGAGCTGCATACTGATTATGCCTTCACCACACACCTAACTAACTAAACCTGCATTGGGCAAGTTGCTTCTGTTGCTTCAAAGGCATCATAGTCAAAGACATTTCACCAGCTTAAACTGACAGTGGCTGAAAATTAACTTGCTGACCTGTTTGTCCTTGTTACAGACTAACTGTACCAGGCACCAGGTCAGATGTGGCTTAATTTTGTAGCGCAGACTATTAAATGAACTAAGAACTTAATTGTGTACTCTTCCACTTGCCTTCAACTCTCAGGATGCTCTGAACAAAAAATTTAGCAGTGATTAAACTCTGCTGCACCCTGTATTGTAGCACAGCATGACCTTGCCTATGCAGATAGAGCCAAATGGTCTAATTACTGTGTTTCAAAGAACCCCCTGCTTGACTGTGCTCTCTGCAGGGGTCTGAAAACATTTGCAATAGGTTCTAGCTGAGGTTTGGCTTGCCTGCTTTGGCCCTTTCCAACAGCACGCTGGGAAGCGTGTTTGAACCCTTTCTCTGCATTTGCAGGCAGGAGAACGTGTCATATTTGGGAAACAGTGAGGGTAAGGCTCTCATCAGAGTTGTAGTGGGAGCATGAAAAGCGAGTCAAAACACGGTGCTAGGATTTTGGGGCAGTGTGGCACCGGCACCATGCCAGCTCAGAAATGGTCATGGTGACTGGAGGGTCTCAGAGAAGAAGCCAGCCGTGGGCTTTTCAGCTGAATTCAAGCGCTGAGGCACAACAAAACCCTCCCTCTCCTGCTTGATGCTGGTAGAGGAGCAGAGGAACACTTGCTGCTCTTCTACCCCTTCCTTCCCACTTTTCCAGTGAGGCAGAGCATCTCTGAACAGCCCATTCCCAAGGGAGGTTTCAGTGCTGCCTCTGACTTGTCACACAGAATCCGTGGAAAGCTGAGGTGAAAGGGGACTGCTGTGAGTTGAAGGGGCTGACCTTGCCGGTAAAACTCTTCACAGACCCGTTCACTCCACTGTTTGCTCAGATCCCAGACCCGGCAAGGGTTGCAAATGTCAGCACACTTGAGTGCAATCTGAAAGCAAGAAGGAAAGTAGCAGTGAGAAAAGAAGTCACTGTTCAGCAGTGTTTTCAGCAGTAAATCTGCAGTCATGAAACTCCCAGGCCCCACCAGCGATGCTGGGAAGGGTTAAGGTTAACTTTCAGAGACTCAGCCTCACCCAAATGTGCCCTTTGAGGAAAGAGCATTTATTTAAGCTGCAAACAAAACTTTCATTCAGCCCTCCGCCTTACCGTAGTGAGAACAAGAGCAGGGCCACATTCCAAAGCTGCAAAGTGTTTTGGATATTCCTTGCAAGGAATAAGCCAACAAAAGCCTCAGGCTGGCTCCTGCTGACTGCTTGGCTCAGCATCCATGGCTGATGACAAGGAAGGGAAGAGCCAAGCTGGTGTATTTGGGCACGATTTCTCTGCGGTCTCAGTGAGTGACCTTGCATCTCACTTCACTTACACTTCATCTTAATGTCTGCATATTTTTGTTTACAAAGCTAAGCACAGGGCTCTCCACACTGCCCCTGGCCTGGTTTCACTTAGTTAACTAGTACTTTTAAGTGCTTTTTAGGAGAATGAGTACAGGGGAAAAGGTTTTTAAAACAGTTACTACTTCAGAAAAGTAAACCATGTAATACTCTGCCTGTCTTACTGCCTTGGAACAAAATATCATGTGTCTTGTTTCTTCACAGACAGAACACAGTCATTCAGTCTGACAGAAGTCAGAAGTCATTCTGGCACCCGGGAAGAAAACATAAATATTTCCTGTAAGGGTTCAGACCTGTGAAGCAGCAGAGAGAAATCTCCAAGTCATTCTTCTCTTTGGATTAAGCTGATTAGCCTTAATGTTATTGTCTACTTGAAAGGACCTTTCAAACATTCTTTAGCTTACTCCAATCAATCAAGATTCTTGATTTTTTCTTTTCTTCTTCCATAGCTAATCCACCAGATAAGAAAATCTTACTGTGTCTTTTTCCTTGTTCCTAAGCTCCTAGTGCTTAAGAAACCTTTTCTGTCATAGGTGAGAGCTGGATATGATCAACCTTTCACTCTGCCCTGCACAGTCTGTGCAGGAGTCTGACAGAGGATTGGTTTTGAGGCAGGACAGGTGAGAAGCTACTACATTTCCCATGCTGCTGGAGTGGGAAGAATTAACAGATCAGCACTTCCCTCCTTGCAGCTGTCACCTTTTCCGTGACTTTGATGGAAGAAAAATATGTGTTTGTTTTATAAATGAAAAAGATTACTTCAACTTCTTTATGTATTTAGGAATTAAATTAATGTAATTTCTCCAAAGAAGCAAGTATATGTAGCTACATTAATCACAATAATGCTTTAATAGGTAGAGGTTTATTCTGAAGAGTCTGCTAATGACTGCTGCTTAGCTGGAAGAACCAGTGTGAACCTATCTGATTTTTGAATAAAGCATGGGTTTTTCATTAGCTGGGCAGATGCACTAGAGAAGCATCTGCTGCCATGGCAACAGCTGTCTCTGCAGAGGCAGTTTCTGAGCATCCATCACAGGAACAGGACTTGGAGACCTGATGTCAGGCTGTCCTGGAAAAAACACCGATGAGTGGGCTCTCCTGCACTGTGCTAGAAAATAACACCAGTGGAGGGACATCTGCCAGAAGAGAGAGTGAGACTACAATTGAAGCATTACCTGGCAAGAGAAGCAGTGTTCTGGAAAAAAAAATAAATTACTAACTTATCTTCATTCCTTAGCATTTGACACTCTCCTGTATCTGTTGCATTCACAGCTTTTTAACTCAAGGAAATTACATAAGGAAGCACCTTATGCTTGCCTGATGTGCCAGAAGGTGGCAGAAGGGAAGTGTTTATAGTAATAGGTAAGAAGAGGCTGATATCCAGACATGCTATAATATACTCCTCTAAACATATACTAGGAAATACTGTGACCTGAAAAATTAATAAAAACAATTAAAAAAAAAAATGAAGTTACCTGAAGCATAAAATGTCTGTCTTGTGCATCCTCCAGCCTCAAATCCTGATTGTCAAGGTGAGATTTCAGACGGATCAAAAACTCATTTTGCCTGTTGATGTCTGTTGCCAAGATCAGGGAGCCCAACTGCTGCTCAATGTCCTGTCTGCAATAAAGGTAAATAAGCCCCTTTAATCATGGAACCATTCAACATTAAGAGCCCAAAACCTGCTCTGGATCACTGGAGCAGGCATAAAGCTCCCTCTTTCTTTATGGACCCAGTCTGATCTGTTTA